AACCTCAAGGTCAGCAGTTCGAAACTACCAGTCACTCCACAGGAGAAAGATGAAGCTTTCTTATCCGTAAAGAATTTCGGCCTGGGAAACCCACAGGGGCAGGTCTACCCTGTTCTGTAGGGTCACTGTGAGTCAGAATCAACTCGATGGCAGTGAGCATTCTTATTGGAGCCGGCGGTACTGTCCACTCTGTACCGACTATGCCCCTCCTGGGCTTTGAGCTGGCAGTGGGCATGTTGGCCCACAGGCCGGAGGCTGATTTGGAGCAAGCCGGACCACTCTCTGATAAAGCAGAGCCCCCTCCCCTAAGATGACCAGACGTCCCGCTTTTGGCGGGACAGCCTGATTTTTAACAATTTGTCCCACGTCCCGCAGCGGTTTAAAAAAGTCCCGATTTTTGGAAAGAATGCATGACAAGCTAGGGCATACGGTTTTCGGCTGCCATGTGGCTATTTCACCAGGATATGAGTTTTATCAATGGTGTTGGTGTCCCACTTTACCAATGTTAAAATCTGGTCACCTTAACACCCCCACCCACCCCACACACACACACTTGGCAGAGTGTCCTCATTTCCATTGATTGTGTCCTCATTGATAACACCTGGGCTTTATCACTTGTATTTGCTTTGCTCAGCCTGCCAGCTTCAAAGGTGCTATCAGGTGCATTTCCACAGCTGTTTGGGAGCATTCTGTGTGCAGCCCCCCCACCCCCACCCGCCCCCTCCCCGCAGCCAGGTGCCTCAGCACAGTCTTTACCCTCTCTCAACTCAACTGCTATCGAGGCAATTCCAACTCATAGTGACCCTATGGGACAGGGCAGCACTGCCCCTGTGGCTTGCCGAGGACTGTAATTTTTTATGAGAGTAGAAATCCTTGTCTTTCTCCCGAGGAGCAGCGGGTGATTTTGAACCGCTGACTTCGTGGATAGCAGCCCAAAGTGTCACCCATGACTAGAAGCTAACCTGCTTTGGGGCAGGGGGCTGGGAGGAGCTGGGAGGTCGGCTGGGAGGTCAGCTGGGGCAGTGATGGAAGCAGGGTCCAACTTAGGGTAGGCCTCTCCACGCCACCAATTCTTTAGGACCTGCACCACCTCCCACCAGCCTGGTCAGTCTCCCCTCCAGGTGATCTTGCCAGGAGCCCACTTAAGCACTCCGGCTTCCCGGTCCCTCCCACCACTATGGGGAGCCTGCTCTGACTTGGGTCTTGAACACTGTGTGTCCCAAGAACACTGTTCTTGGGGTCAGAGAGCATATCCAGCAGGGTCTGTGACTGGCAGGAGCGAGGCTGGGGACACCTCCCCTGGCAATTACTATGGGGCCATATATGCCCGCAGGGCAAAGTCCAAGTCCCAGGCCTCTGTCCAGTTGTGACCCCTGCCTGGAGCTGACCAGGTAGCTACTGACGTTTGTGTTTGGCTGAGGTCATTCCCAGCCAGCGACCTGCCAACCTCCTCCCCACCCTGGTCTCCTCAGGGGCATTCACGCTAGACCACAGGGGCTCAGAGGCCCCTGAAGCTCAGAGAGGCAGGGTACCTTTCCTGGGAGATGCATCCCAGACACCCATGCAGGAGGAGTGTTCTGCCCCCTGAGCGAGGTCAGACAGGGGCAGCGGCGGGGGAAGCCTGTGTATAAGCTAGGCATAGGCCTGAGGGGCGCTGGGCATGGCCTGGCCAGGCACGGGAGGACCTGAGGGGCAGGCTTTGACCAGGGGGAAGGCCATGGGAGGGGCAGGCTTGGCAAAAGCATGCAGGACTTGAGGCCACCGCCACAGGAGGGTGGTGTCTGGGGAGCACTCAGGCTGTAACGGTTTGGGGGCTGGGGAGGGGCACACCAGAGTTGTGCCTTTGGGCAATAACAGGGCCAGAACTGGTTTTCCTGAAAATGCTGAGTGCCGCTCTTGGTGTGGGTAGACAGGTAGGTCTAGAGACACAGATGTCCCGGGGAGAGGGGTGGGTAGTACAGAGCCCCCTGGGTCCTCTCCATCGGGGCTGGCCTGGGCCTCCAGAGGGGAAGTCTCCCCAGTTAGGGGTGGTTTAGGCACTTTGGGAGGGACCCCTTGGCTGGGAGAGAGGAAGGGGAGCAGGGAGGAGGATACAGGAAGGCTTAATGGCGGAGCCACACTAGTCAGAGAGTGGCAGCCAGCCACCAGGGAGGAGCAGACAAGGACAGAGTGGAGGTGCGCCAGGCCCAGGCGCTGTACCATTAAGACTTTGGAGTCCCCCTCAGACTGCACCCCTTGGTCAGGCCAGCCCCCACAGGGATGTTGAGGCCCCTTTCCCAGTCACCCTGAGCTGTGTGCAGCCGCCTCTTCTGCACGAACAAGTCTGTGAACAGCCAGCTAGTTCCCTCCTCAGAAGGTAATAACGGTGATTATATGATATTAATTATAATCCCAGACACATGGCTGCCTCTTGGGGCCGAAGCACAGGAGGAGGCCCAGAGGGGACTGAGCAGGGCAGTGCCCTGGCCCACAGGGACAGGCACACAGCAGAGTATTCCCCAGGCCAGTCCCAATTCTCATGCGTCAGATCGCACTCAGGGCAGAAAGGAGGAGGCAGCTGGCCCTTTGGCATGGGCCCTTTGCCCACCCGAAGGCTCCAGTAGAGCCCAAGGGGCCATCTCCCTGCTTTCTTGCTCCATTCCTTGCCCCGCTCCCCACCCAGTCTTAGCAACACGGGGGCTAAGCTGTGTGACCCTGGGCAGGTCACCTCTCTGTGCTTCCAGGCTTGTTTCAGTCAGATGAAGACTATCACCCACCTACTTGGGCTTGTTGGGAGAGTTCAAAAGGGAACAGCACAGACCTGACGTACAGTCCATGCCTAATAAAGACACCTGTTCCTGTTAGGGTCCTCCCCGCAACTGCCAGCAGAAACATTCCTGCTCAGACTCCACACACACATCTGGGCTCCCTGCTGCCTGTTGGCTCTCCATCCTGACATGCTTCCCCCCCACTCCACCCCCATGTCCACACCCCTTCCTCTCGAGGGACCTGGGCCTGTTCTCCTTCTGGACCTCTGCAAAGGCAGGCCCAGCAGCCCCCTCCTAGGAGTTGACTGAGGCTCCAACAGGACTCTGGATGACCTCACAGTGTCTGTGGGGCACCATTCAGAGGCAAGCCCACCAGCCCCAATGGCCACCTGCAGGGATGGCCGCGTGCACAAGGCCAACAGGGAACAGAGTAAGCCACTCTGGTGTGAACCCACTGACACCACATTCTCATTTATTTCTGACTGGTCAAATAGACCGTCAAAGGACCATGTTAGCCCTCCTAGAGGTGCACAATTCCGTCGTATAGGTGACAGTCATGATGCCGGGAAAGCACCATAGTCTATGTCCATCAGTGTTCCATCAGCCCACAGAGAATGCTGGGCCCTCTCCTTACCAAGCTGCGTGTCTTGTGCTGGCCTGGGAACAGGGGCCATTGAGAACACAGGGGAGAGGTCAATACAAGCATGTATGACTGCCACACAGCCATACATTGACCAAAAAAACCACAGAACTGCACTTCAAATGTCATGCAAATTATTAGGTAATTCATGTGATAAGTTATGCCTCACTACGACCAGTTTGCTCTTTTTTCAGTAGCTGAAGAGTGTGCCGTCAAATACTATGAGGGGACTTCAAAAAGCTCATGGGAAAATGGAGTAAAAAAGATGACAGAATCTCCCCATGGACTTTGTGAAGTCCCTTGGATACACATACACACTAAGGAAATAACCCTCCCGAATAATCACTAGAGCCATCTCCGGCGGGGGGTGTGGGGGGGGTGGGTTTCTGCTCGTTCCTCACTGAGCATCTTAAGTTTCCTACCGTGAAAAGATAAACTGTGTGATCAAACCTCCACTCACTCACCAAGTACCAGCTGCCCAGTGGTCCTGGGGTGTCATCACTGAGACTACAGCAAAGGTCTGAGTGCTGTTGGGCCGGCTCATGTTTGGACCAGGCCAGCTCACTGTTCTAGAGCTGAGCTGAGGAGGAAGGCCTGAGGAAGGCACTGACTTCCCTCCCACCTCCCCTGTGGATTTCTGTCTGCCAGAGGGGCAAGCGGGCTCCTACTTGCCCATGGACTGTGCTGACTCTCTGGCTGCACTCAGGGTCTCGTGCTGAAGGCTGGAGTCAGGCCCTGGGAGCTCAGGGATTCTGGGATGGGTTTCTCACTCCACAGAATATTGTCCTACCAAGTCTGAGGCACCTAGGCCATCCTGGGAAAACTCCCTCCATCAGGGGCTCTGGGCCACAGGCTCCATGGGAGGCTAGGCTGGTAAGGCATATGTGTCTAATGGTTGGACTAGTCTGTAGCAAGCTGGGGCAGCCGTCTCAGACTGTGTGGTCCACTCCCTGGAGGCCACAAGCCCACAGGCACGCCCGTCCAGGCTGTGGGAGGGTCTAGTCCCCCAAGCTGCTCCTGGGCTCATGACCTCAGTTTCCCCACCACACAAGGGCTGCACCTGTTGCTTTGGTTAGTCTCAATCCAGTCATTCCTCGGCTCCCAAACCCTTCCTTTCAGATAAACTGCCTCTAACGGCTTTACCTCTGCCCCAAACTGCAAGTAAATAGCCCTTTGCGGGTTTGCGTGGCTTCGCTGCAAGAGCGTGGGGAGCCAAGCTGGCAAGCGGGGCGCAAGAGGAGAGGCGGGGCCGGCCGCGCGCCTGCGCTCCAGCGCCGCGCCGTGCTGAACTCTCGGACTGGAGGGAATGACCAAGAGTAACCCCGCGCTGACGTCACGGCCAGAGCCGGGGCGGACCCGGCGACTCCGGATGCCAGGTCCCCCACCGCGACCAGCCCGGCCAGGGACTTCACCGGGACTTCGCCTGGGCGCACAAGCTGTGTGAGCAGCCCAAGCGCGGGCCAACGTGGAGACTGCGCGACGCCGGGGCGGTTCGGCGTAGCGCGGAAGCTCCAGACGCGCCGCCCAGACCCTCCGGGACGCGCACGGTCCAGTGCCAAGCGTTTGCCCGGCCAGTCCTGTGGCCCCGGCCTCGCGCTCGCGGGTCCGCTCACCTTCGATGTCGGTCAACAGCGCAGCGTCCAGCTCGCACGGCGCAGCCAGCGCCTGCTCCAAGGCCGCCTCGTTGAAAGGCGGCTCGTCCATGTCGCAGCGCCTCCTCCGGGCACCCCGCGGCCTCCAGTGCCTGCGCCCCGCTCCGGCCTTCGTGGCAGCGGACGCCGGCAGGGAGTCCCGGGACGCTAGGTCCGCCTGGCCGTCGGTGGTCGGCGGGACAGGAGCGGCGGGGCGGGGCTGAGAACGGAGGCCACGCCCCTCTGGTCGACGGCCACGCCCCTTCTGGGCACCGCGGGAGCGCCCTGTGGGCCGCGGGCACGGCCCCCTCCCCCTCTTCGGGCCAGGACACCCTCCCTCGCTTTATCCAGCTTCTCGCCACCGTAGCTTCGGACCAATTTTCTAGGAGTCCAGGCAGGCCTGCCACCACTTCCCGGGCCTCAGTTTCTCCAGTACCCAGCAAGTGGGGGCTGAGCGTCCTCCCCAGGACTCAAGCTCTGCTTTCGTTTTCTGGTGCTACGCTAACAAAAATACCGCACGTAGAGGGCTTTCACAAAGAGGCCCCGGGCTAAGGTTTAGGAGAGGGCTAGTCTGAATTCAGGGTGCTGGCTCTGAGGGAAGGCTGTCTGTGTCGTTTCTGGAGCAGGGCTTCGTCTCTTCCCTCCTCCCCTGGCCCTGAGCAGACGTCCTGTGGCTGGCCATCTCCCGTCCCCATCTCTGCCCCGTTTGCTCGTTTAACTTCTTTTATATTGCAAAAAGAACTGGACTCAAGATGCAACCTATACACTAACCCTGCCTTATGAACATAACAGAGACAACCCAGACCCTTAGGGTCTTACAGTCCTAGGCACAGAGCTGAGGATTCACAACACAATTGGGGGAGGAGGGGACACAATCCGATCCATAACAAGATCCATCCTAGAAGTTTCTAGACTTGGGGCAGGGAGTCCTGATGTTGGCACTTAGAACTAGAGGGACCCCGGTGGAGCTAGAGCTCTGCCCAGACCTGCTGTGTGCCACCACCAATCTGTGCCTCCGTTTCCTATCCTCCAACAGGCCTAGTGATGTCTTTCAATCATCTGGCTGGGGGAGTGGGAGGAAAAAAAAAATCTGGCTGGGTGGCTGCCTGTAAGATCAGCCTGCCCTCCTGCAGAAGTTTCTGGGGATGTGGGAGGGGGGGGGGAGCCTGGAGATGGACAAGGTGACCAATAGTCACCCAGCCCAGCCCCCAACCACTGCAGGAAGGGTGGCCTCAGAGGGACACGACCCACCCAAAGTCACACAGCTGCATGTGAGCCACAGTAGAGCTGAGGCTTGGGGCTGTCTGACTTCAAAGTGGGTGCTTCTCCAGGGAAGGACCAGGATTAAGAACACAAAGAAGAGACTGAACTTGAGCCCTGAACCTTCTTGCCCTGGGAGCCATGTCAGCAGGCAGCCCAGCCGGCAGAGAGAGCTGGACTGGGACCGGGGGCTTGGGGACAGAACCAGGTGTAACAGGTGGGAAGAGAGGTATCCCAACTCTGTACATTCAAATAGAAACCAGGACCAACATTCCTTAATGAACAGTGTTTACACATTCACACACTGCCAGGTCACACTGAGAAAACAACAGCGGCTCCTCTGGAGAAAAAGGAGGCTTTCTACTTCCGTAAAGACTTACGTTCTGAGAAACCACGGGGGCAGTTCTACCCTTTGCTCTATAGGTCATGAGTCAGAGTCGACTCAATGGCAGTGAGTTTTTTCAGTAACATTGAAGAGTCTAAAAGGGACAGACAGCTCTCTGCCCCTGCAGCAGGTATACAAGCAGAAACACGCACCCTGGGTGGCAGGCAGTGAAGGAAACTGCCAGGGGTCTGGAGCCCAGGTCCGCCTGGACCTCGGTGAGTCACGAAATCTCAAAGCTGCCCTTGTTCAGACGCCAGAGATATTCCGTTTGGCCACACCCTGTAAGAGTAAAATTAGTGGGGAGCCTAGGCTGAGAGAGGCTTGGCCTGGATGGGCAGTTTTCTTTCTTCTCCTCCCGGAAGTGAAAGTGAATTGGCTGTCACGGAATATTACCCAGAACTGGGGTGGCTAGGAGCCATATGATGGGGAGGGGTGGTGGGGTGGGTGGTGGTGGGCGGTCATCACCAAACCCCACCTCCTGCACAAATGGCCCTGCTTAGGTCACTGGACCGGATCCTCTGGATGAGCTTCTGTCGGGCGCGAGACAGACTTCCCCTCTGCCCTACTCCCTTGCAGCCCCTGACTTCCCCCCAGACTTACACAGCCCTTTCCAGGGAGGGGGGTGGGGTTGCTGCGTGAAGCATGAAGGATCATTTTAGATTCAGGCCACTAGGCCGGTTTGTCATCTGCGCGTTGAAAGACTAGGTTCCTCTCATTGATAAAGTGCCAGCAGGCCACCCGGGAGTCAGCCACCCTCGGAGCAGACCCCTCTAACTGTTCTTTAAAAGGGTTGGCCACATGTGCGCAATGCCTGGCTCAATAAATACACATTCCGTGACTGCAGGAGTTAGGGGGGGAAGCAAATGGTGAGGCAAGGTCAAGGGGAGCCCAGCAGCCCAGACCAAACACCAGGCTGTCCGAAGCCCCTCTAGGAAGCAGTCCAAGACTGGGGGTGAGGGTGGGGGTGGGAGTGGCTACAAAGCAGGGCCAAGCTTACAGGGAGGTGCGGGAGAGCCGAGCTGGGGACCCTGCACTTCAGGGACACCTGTGGGTTTTGTCCCTTCCAAAGATCCGAAGCCCCTTGCTGGCTGGGCGGGCCTGAGCACACACAGCCAGGGACGCGGACCAGCTAGCGGTTGGCCCCTGTCCCCGTCAGGC